CTTCACCAGTTTCACTCGCCATTACCACTTCTTCAGTGAACCTTTGACTTGGAATGAAGCTCAGACTTTCTGCAGACAGAAATACACAGATCTGGCCACCATAGAAAACTCTGAAGAACATAACCTGCTTTATAAAACGCTTCAATCTGCTGGTTACAGCTCTGACGTCTGGATTGGTTTGTACAGTGAAATCGACTGGAAGTGGTCGGATGGGTATACTGGAGCTGGTGCTGATTACAGGCACTGGAGAAGTATTTACAATGAACCACAATTTTACAATGCCAGTCAATTGTGTGTTAAAGCTGGGAGTTTTGGAAATTGGTGGGATGATGACTGTGCACAAAAGCGCCAATTTATCTGTAACAAAGGTAATTTTAATTATTCAATATAGTATACAATAATATGATATTTAAAAAGCGAAAACTCTTTAACGCATCCCTCTTTTGTACAGGGACACCAGCAGAACCTCAATTTACTCTTCAAAAAGAAAACATGAACTGGTCTAGTGCTCAAAGGTTCTGCCGGGAAAACTTTATTGACCTTGCAACTGTAAGGACTAATGCAGAAAATAATATGTTAGCGACAGCAATACCTTCTGACTATGCATGGATCGGTCTGTTTAGAGACCCAAACTTTTTTTGGTCTGATCAAAGCAGCTTCCTGTTTAGTGCCTGGGACTCTGTCAATAATCCAATCGGCTCAATGACAGTGATATGTGGTGCTACATCTTCTGGGAGATCAGGAAAATGGAAATTTTTATCATGTGAACAAAGATTGCCGTTTGTCTGCTACAGTGTTCATGGTGATTATTTTACTCCATGTAAAAACCAAAAATAAAATAAAACAACAGTATAAATAACTATTATACTTAATAGTTATTTGATTAAACTAATTTTTTTAATTTGCAGAATCAGTTTAAATCTAATAAAACATCTCTTCTTCTTGATTAACCAGTTTTCAAAAAGGTAGTTAAGCTGAGACTGAAGGCAGAGGACTCCGTGAATCTAAATGACCCTGTTCTAAAAGAGAAAATCCTGAAAAAGGTAAGTCAGATATGGCACCTTGTACAGTTGTGTTAGAAAGTGTACATAACCTCCCATTAAAGACTATTACAAATTCTGACTAGTAAAGCCAATAACACAAAACTGAAAAATATAATAACAAATACAAAATGACTCAAAAATAAATGGTAAAATATCAAATTGATTTTGAGATT